CAAACTATAATTCTTCATGAATTTTCAAATGTTTGAGAAGCCTTTTGCCTGGAAACTTCACTTAACAGATAAGAAGGGATGACTGAACTTCCGACAGAATTGAGACTGACTTGAACGTGCTTTTGTTGTTTTGGTGCAGGAGAATTCTCTGTATTCTATCAATCATGTATTTTAATAAAATGCTAATTGGCCAGGCAGGAAGTATAGGTGGGTCAACCAGACAGCAAGTAGAGGTGGGGTGATGAGAACAGAAATATTCTGGGAAGCAGGAAGCTCCCTCTGCCATTCCTTCCCAGACCACAGAAGAGGCAACAAAATGTGAGCTGACAGCTGAAAGAGGTACCAAGCCATATGGCTAACATAGATCAGAATAATGGGTTAATATAAGCTATAAGAGTTAACAAGAAGCCAGAGCTAAGGGCCAATCAGTTTAAAATCTTATGGAGTTCTGTGTGTGATTTTTCCTTGGGAATTGCCAGCTGTGGGGTACTGGGTGGAAACAGAAACCCCAACAAGCATGCCCCTCCATGCTACAGATGGCACTCATGTGGATAACTGCATCCACAGAAAGCCTGAGAAAGCTTGGGAAAGAATAGAGTAAAGCATGTTTTCTTGGTAGCAGCAATTTCTCGGGTCTGCTCTGCTTGCTGGAGGTAAGCAAGTGCTCTCATCTAAGAGAGGCTTCCTGACTCAGCTTTAACTGCAAAACCCTGGAGCTCATTAAGAGGTCCTGCCACAAAATACTTAATCGGTGTTGATGAAAAGCTGAACACATGCTTTTTGGTTTTCAGTCGTAGCAGAAAAAAAGCTGCGCTGTTTTAAAATGCCAGCTTTCTGGGCTGTCCTGCCAGGGCAAACTCTGACTCTTTCAGGCAGGCACTCCGACTGAGTGTGGTCTGTGAGCAGCATGCTGCAGCTTGCTTGCTGGCAAGGACCTTGAAATGCCATAGAGTTGTGGCAGTGAACACAGCTCTGGCTGGTATCTCAGCCATTAGGCTGGAAAGCTAAGGAATGGACTGGATATAACTGTCAAAGCCATGGCTAAGACTCCTGTAGTCAGAAAAAGAGAGATATATAGTAAAAGAAAGATTCAAAGTTGAAGAAAACCTCTAAATGGTTTACAGTGTGTTAAAAAAAAGATGCAGGCTAAAGGTTAAAGCCATTAAAAATAAAAAAGAAAGAGAGAAGTAGGTTGTGGTGATACACACCTTTAATCCCAATGCCTGGGAGGCAGAGGTAGATTGACCTCTGTGACTTCAAGGGACAGAGGCAGATTGACCTTTGTGACTTCAAGGTATGGTAGCACATGCCTTCAATCCTAATGCCTGGGAGACAGAGACAGACAGGTCTCTGTGAGTTCAAGGTGTGGTAGCATACACCTTTGAGCCCAGCACTGGGGAGGCAGAGACAGAGGGATCTCTGTGAGTTCAAGGACAGCCTGGTCTACAGAGTTATTCCAGGACAAAGATATATACAGAGAACCTGTCTCAAAAAGCCAACAGTTAAAAGTAAAAATAAAAGAAATACAGGTTAAAGACACATAAAGATGGAAAATACACAGAGAATCTTGATACTGTATGTTATCATGCTGTCTTTGAATTGTTTGAATGCTGAGGAAGGAGCAACAGCTGCTAAAAGACTTTTGTTTATAAATGCTGCTGAACTAACCCAATATAGGTATTTTGAAAGAACCTTGGCTTTAAAATTGAAGTCAAAAGGTGTGTTACTTTGGAGAAGAGATTTTGCTTTTGTTTCCACAGAAAATGAGAGGCTGTGGATTCATACTGAGTTAAGAAAAATCAGGTTCGATAAAGGAAGACCACCTGAGAAATCTCCGATAAGAACAGATGGCCCAGATGACAGAGTTCTACATCCAGAATAGATTCAAGACTGCTGCCTGAGATGGTCAAGACTCCCAGGATACTCCAGTCAGAACTGGATTATAACTCTAAATTTTCTTTATTTCCCCATAAGATTATCAGCGCCCCCAACTAGCAGGAAGTAGACTGGAATACTACGTCCACATTCCCAACAAATGAATTATGGGTATTTTCCTTTGTTTAAAAAAAAGAGGAAAATGGTGTGGGAGAATTATCTGTATTCTGTCAATCATGTATTTTAATAAAATGCTGATTGGCCAGGCAGGAAGTATAGGTGGGTCAACCAGACAGCAAGTAGAGGTGGGGCGATGAGAACAGAAATATTCTGGGAAGCAGGAAGCTCCCTCTGCCATTCCTTCCCAGACCACAGAAGAGGCAACAAAATGTGAGCTGACAGCTGAAAGAGGTACCAAGCCATATGGCTAACATAGATCAGAATAATGGGTTAATATAAGCTATAAGAGTTAACAAGAAGCCAGAGCTAAGGGCCAATCAGTTTAAAATCTTATGGAGTCCTGTGTGTGATTTTTCCTTGGGAATTGCCAGCTGTGGGGTACTGAGCGGGAACAGATACCCCAACAAGCCGGCTCTCATGTTACATTGTTTTATATTTCTCTCATGGTTATCTCTTCCTGGTACAGAAAAAACTGTAATTTCAAGCCAATAATCCCTTATGTTTGGCTTCATATTCCTAGTGTTAGGCTTGTATGTTTGGGAGACTTGAAGCAGCAACAGAGTGTTTCCCACATCCTTGTGGTACTCATTTTTCCTGTTTGAAAAAACATCTGATCATAGAGATACAAGAAAGAGTTCCTTTTAGTTCATAATCTGAGGGGATGTTTATTGTGATAGGGAAGTCATGCTGGCAAAAGCATGAGATTCTGGCTCTATTGAGTGCCAATCTGAAAGCAGAGAGCAATTATTGCTACTTCTCTGTTTGCTTTTCCTTCTTCATTCAGTCCAAGACCCAAGCATGTGGTATGATGCTTTCCACAGTTAAGGTGAGCCTTTCCATTGCTACTAATCTAATTGAGACAGTCTCTCACAGACATTCCTAGAGGTTTGTTGCTTAAGCAATTCTAGAACCTGCCAAGCTGGCAATTATTATGGACATCCAAAGTCCCCCCCTTGACAACTTGATGCACACACATCATTTTAATTGATTATCTTCCCCTCTTTATTGCCACATACTCACGACATCATAGAATGCAAAAATGAGTTCAGTTCATACTCAAACGTCTTTAACAGTTTCAACACTGCTCATAGTGCAAGTCTTACCTGAGATTCTATTGTAGTCACTTAAATTTGATATATTACAACATAAAAAAACTGTAATTCAAGATACAGTAGCATAGAATAGACATTTTTATTCCAAAATGGAAGAATAGGAACATAGCAAGTAGTGACCATGACAAAACAAGGTGAATACCCACATAGAAACTCTAAATTTTGCAGTTCCACATAAGGATGGAATTTGTATTGCAATCCCGGGGGTTCTAAAGAACCCTAGTCGTCCTGTCCCACCAGCTCTGATACTGCAGAACACCTAGCCTTTCCCTTGGGAATGCATTGCCAACTATGTCAAGAATATGTACAAACAGTGATGGTTTCTTTCTAGTTCTCTCAATCTCTTCTCTCAGTTGACGTATTTCATTCATTAACATTTCAGATTTCTTTCTAAATCCTTCAACAAGCAGTTCTTTTTGGATCTGTAAGACTAAGAGTCCTGTTATACACAGGCTGGACTTTGCATTTAACTTTAGTTAAAGTATATTATCTATTTCACTACTACCTAAGAAGGGTTTTTGATATTTTAAGACATTTGTACCTAAAAAGATGAATATCTATGCTTTACACATAATTAGGCAAAATTCCACAGGATCTTTCCATGGAGACTGAATTGTTTTGTTCCAACACACACACACACACACACACACACACACACACACAATTCCATAAGGGAAAGATTGCAGAAGGCAGGTGAACTGAAACTTACTCTCAATTCCAAGAAGGTGTCTCTTGGATTATTTCATGAATTATGGGTATGCTGACCATGTATAGAACACTGGTTACTAATTCTAAGATGGCACAAATAGTTTATTTTATATCAGCTTACATGAAGAATCAAACAGACATAAATAAATAGAGCAATTTATGAGATTGTGTCATTTTGTTTCATTGTATTATTTTATTATATTTTTCAATTTAATTAATTAATCTCTTTTTGTGCATGCACGTGTGAGCACACATGTAAATGCATGCAGATGTATGTGTTCGTACATATCTATGGAGGCCAGAGGTTGATGTCATGTATATTCTTCAAATGTTTCCTCATTTTTTAATGCATTTTTTAATTTACATGTTTGACTCTTTTGCTTACATGTGTACATACGATGTCTCTGCCTGCTGTCCATGGCACATGAAAAGAGCATATCAGATCCCCTGAAATTCTAACTCAGGACAATATGAAGTGCCATGTTATTGATGGAAACTAAACCTGGATCCTTGGCAGGAGCAGTGTATTCTCTGAGGCAACTTTACTGTCCTATTTTTAAGATAAAGTCTCTCCTTAATTCTATAGTTAGTTGATTCTACTGGGCTGGCTACCGAGAAAGCTCAAAGAATCCTCCTGTCTTCTTCCTGAAAGTCACTGATAAATGTCACGTCTTCCATATTTTTCCATGGATTCTGAACTTCCAAGTTTCTTCCTCGTGCATGTACAATGAAAACTTCAAAGACTGAGCCATCTCCCCACCCCATCCTCCTCCTCTGCTTTATCCTGGGCTAAAACTGATATATTCACACTAGATGGTCCCACCTCATTTTCTTTGAGGAATAAGTCTAGAATCCTAAAGACGATTGGAAAGGGTCAACTGCAGAACAAAAAGACCATCCTAGAAATTCAACCAACAGCAACTCAGAACACTGGGGACATTATTTATACAGTTGAAAGTCTAACCCTACACAGATATTGGTGTCTTATGTGCTCAGAGCTTCAGTAAGGCCCATATGAACTTTGATGCAACATTCACCGTTGAAGTTACTTGTTTGGGACAAACATTTCCCTTGTTGGAAAGTCACAGCACCATCTGTCTGGCACTGACAAACCCCATCCACACTCACCTTCAGCTTGTGCTCCAACATCCTCTCCTATTCTCTCAGAAGAGTCTCCCTTTCCTTCTCCATCTTCTCTTGAAGTTTAGCAATGTTTTCTCGGAAGCTTCTCTCTTGAGCTTCCATCACTTGCTCTTGCTCCTCCTCCTTCTGTCTCAGCAGCTCTTGTTTTTTCTCAGCCACCTCCTTCTTTATCCTCTCAGCTGTTCCACAGATGGTGGAGAGAGGAAGGAAATCACAGTCAGAATGTAGCTATACTGTCCAGGGCTCAAAGGGAAACCTGTGAGTATTCCCATTAGCCAGACCAGCAGCATCATGGTTCCTAACATGATGGAAAGGCACCAATAAACTGGACATAAAATACAACACCAACACACTTTGTGTTCGCACATCTAGGAGAGGTCAAATGCCCAGCAAGAGGAAGCTCCTTGTTCCAGAAGGATCTACCTGTGCACCAGTCAGAGGACTTTGCAATATGCACCCATCCTCTCTAACAGTTGGACACTCTACCCTACCTGCTATGGCCTTCTGTCCATCTGTAAGGGCTTTGTCTGATGGCAGGATGGAGTTCTCTATAGTATGCTGTGACTGTAGGAAGCTTTGAGAACCTCTTTTGCCTGGGGACCCAAGAAGAGAAAATATAACTTAGGCAGTAAAGTTTAAGTCTTCTGCTGAGGTATTTATTGATAAATAAAACTTCTTCTTTTGAGTCCTGTCCCACAAGGTCCATTTAATTCCATGGCCATAGCAAAAGTATAAGCCCTGTACAGTTTCAAAAACCCTCTGCCTCAGCCTCCTTACTAGCTTTATTGCCACTCTTTCCAGAAATGCTTCCCACCATCTGCCCTAGGTCACAGTCCCAACCATAGTTACAAGCAGTTCCATGGAGTTCCACAGACAACAGTTTCAATTGGTTACCATGTTTAAAAATATTTTGTTTCTTACCTCCATGGATGTCCCAGCTAAGACAACATAAACAGACTTGTTACTTTGTATCTTAGAATGCTTAGATTGGAATTTCTGAAAACTTTCATAGTTTTCTTTTTTAATTAATTTATTTATTAAAAATATCGACCTCCTCCCATTTTCCTCCCACTCCCCCACTTCCCCTCACCCTCCCTTTCCAGTTCCAAGAGCAGTCAAGGTTCCCTGCCCTGTGAGAAGTCCAAGGTCCTCCCCCATCCATCCAGGTCTAGGAAGGTTAGCATCCAAACAGACTAGGCTCCCACAAAGCCAGTCCATGCAATAGAATCAAAACCCAGTGCCATTGTCCTTGGCTTCTCAGTCCGCCCTCATTGTCAGCCACATTCAGAGAGTCCTGTTTGATCATATGCTCCATCAGTCCCAGTCCTGCTGGCCTTGGTGAGCTCCCATTAGATCAGTCCCACCATCTCAGACGGTGGATGCACCCCTCGTGGTCCTGACTTCCTTGTTCATGTTCTCTCTCCTTCTGCTCTGCATTTGGACCTTGGGAGCTCAGTCCAGTGTTCCAATGTGGGTCTCTGTCTCTATCTCCATTCATCGCCAGATGAAGGATCTATTGTGATATGCAAGACATTCATCAGTGTGGCTATGGGATAAGGCGGGTTCAGGCACCCTCTCCTCTGCTGCCCAAGTAACAAGCAGGGGACATCTCCTTGGACACTTTGGAACCCCTCTAGAGTCAAGTCTCTTGCCAACCCTAAAATGGCTCCCTTAATTAAGATATCTACTTCCCTGTTCCCATATCCACCCTTCCTCCATCTCAACCATCCCATTCCCCCAAGCTCTCCCCAATCTTCTGCTTCTCCTTTCTCTCTCCCTATCTCCCCTTACCTTCACCCCACCCCACCTCCGTGCTTCCAACTTTTGCCTGGCAATCTTGCCTACTTTCAATATCCAGGAGGATAACTATATGTTTTTCTTTGGGTTCACCTTCTCATTTAGCTTCTCTAGGATCATGAATTATAGGTTCAGTGTCCTTTGTTTATGGCTAGAATCCACTTATGAGTGAGTACATACCATATTCCTCTTTTAGGGTCTGGGCTATCTCATTCAATAAAGTGTTCTCTATTTCCATCCATTTGCATGCAAAATTCAAGATGTCATTGTCTTTTACTACAGAGTAAAGCTCTAAAGTGTATATGTGCCAAACTTTCTTTATCCATTCCTCTAATGAGGGACACCTAGGTTGTTTTCAGGTTCTGGCTATTACAAATAGTGCTGCTATGAACATAGTTGAACAAATGCTTTTGTAGTATGATTGGGCATCTCTAGGGTATATTACCAAGAGTGGAATTGCTGGATCCTGAGGTAGGTTGACTACCAGTTTTCTGAGAAACCGCCACACTGATTTCCAAAGTGGTTGCACAAGTTTGCATTCCCACCAACAATGGATGAGTGTTCCCCTTAGTCCACATCCTCTCCAGCATAGGCTATCATTGTTGTTTTTGATTTTAGCTATTCTGACAGGAGTAAGATCATATCTCAAAGTTGTTTTGATATGCATTGTCCTGATTGCTAAGGAGGTTGAGCATGACCTTAAATGTCTTTTGGCCATTTGAACTTCTTCTGTTGAGAATTCTCTGTTCAGTTCAGTACCCCATTTTTTTCAGTATCCCATTTTTAAATTGGGTTAATTATAGTTTTAATGTCTAGTTTCTGGAGTTCTTTATATATTTTGGAGATCAGACCTTTGTCTGATTTGCGATTGGTGAAGATCTTCTCCCATTCAGTAGGTTGCCTTTTTGTCTAAATGACAGTGTCCTTTGCTTTACAGAAGCTTCTCAGTTTTAGGAGGTCCCCTTTATTCACTGTTGCTCTTATTGTCTATGCTACTGGGGTTCTACGTAGGAAGTGGCCTCCTGTGTCCATGAGTTATAGACTACTTCCCACTTTCTCTTCTATCAGGTTCAGTGTGGGCAGATTAATATTGAGGTCTTTAACTCATTTGGACTTGAGTTTGGTGCATGGTGATAGATATGGATCTATTTTCATTCTTCTACAGGTTGGCATCCAGTTATTCCAGCACCATTTGTTAAAGAAGCTTTCTTTTTTCTGTTGTATAATTTCAGCTCCTTTTTTGAAAATCAGGTGTTCATAGGTTTGTGGATTAGTATCTGGGTCTTTGATTTGATTCCGTTGGTCAACATCTCTGTTTTTGTGTGAATACCAAGCTGTTTTTATTACTGTAATTCTGTAATAGAGTTTGAAGTCAGGGATGGTAATGCCTCTGGAAGTACTTTTATTGTATAGGATTTTTTTGGCTTTCCTGGCTTTTTGTTTTTCCATATAAAGTTGATTATTGTTCTCTCAAGGTCTGTGAAGAATTTTGTTGAGATTTTTATGTGGATTGCATTGAATCTATAGATTGTTATTGGTAGAATTTCCATTTTTACTATGTTGATCCTCCCAATCCAAGAGCATGGGAGATCTTTTCACTTCCTGATATCCTCTTCAATTTCTTTCATCAAGGACTTAAAGTTCTCGTCAAATAGATCTTTCACTTCCTTGGTTAGAGTTACCCCAAAATACTTTATGCTATTTGTGGCTATCGTGATGTTTGATGTTTCTTTGCTTTCCCTCTCTGCTGCTTTATTCTTTTTGTGTATAGGAGGGCAACTGATTTTTTGGAGTTGATCTTGTATCCTGCCACATTACTAAAGGTTTTTATCAGCTGTAGGAGTTCTTTGGTAGAGTTTTTAGGGTCGCTTATGTACGTTATCATATCATCTGCAAATAACGAAAGTTTGACTTCTTCCTTTCCAATTCGAATCCCCTTGATCTCCTTATGCTGTCTTATTGCTATTGCTAGACTTTGAAGAGTTATGGAGAGAGTGGACAGCCTTGTCTTGTTCCTGAATTTAGTGGAATGGCTTTGTGTTTCTCTCCATTTAATATAAGATTAGCTGTCGGCTTGATGTATATTGCTTTCATTATATTTAGAAATGAACCTTGTATCCCTAATCTCGCCAAGACCTTTATCATAAAGGGGTGTTGAATTTCGCCAAATGCTTTTTCAGCATCTAATGAATTGATCGTATGGTTTTTTGCCTTCAGTTTATTTATATGGTGGATTACGTTGATAGATTTTCATATGATGAACCAGCCCTGCCTCTCTGGGATGAAGCGTACTTGATCATAATGAATAATTTCTTGGATGTGTTCTTGGATATGGTTTGCCGGTATTTAATTGAGAATTTTTGCATCAATGTTCATGAGTGAGATTGGTCTGTAATTCTCTCTCTTGGTTAAGTCTTTGTGTGGTTTTGGTATCAGGGTAACTGTAGCTTCACAAAAGGAGTTTGGCAATGACACTTCTGTTTCTATTTTGTGAAACACATTAAGAAGTATAGGTATTAGCTCTTCTTGGAAGTTCTGGTGGAATTCTGCATTGAAACCATCTGGTCCAGGGCTTTTTTTGGTAGGGAGGGTACTGATGACAGCTTCTAATTACTCAGGACTTACAGGTCTATTTAAATTGTTCACATGGTCTTGATTTAATTTTGGTATATGGTACTTATCTAAAAAAAGTGTCCATTTCTTTCATATTTTCCAATTTTCTGGCATATAGGCTTTTGTAGTAAGATCTAATGATTCTCTGAATTTCCTCTGTGTCTGTGGTTATGTCCCCCTTTTCATTTCTGATCTTGTAATTTACATGTTCTCTCTCTGGCGTTTGCTTAGTTTGGATAGGAGTTTGTCAATCTTGTTGATTTTCTCCAGGAACCAGCTTTTTGTTTTATTGATTCTTTGGATTGTTTTCTGTGTTTCTATTTTGTTGATTTCAGCCCTCAGCTTGATTATTTCCAGTCTTCTACTCTTCCTGGGTGATCTGCTTCTTTTTTTTTTCTAGAGCATTCAGGTGTGCTGTTAAGTCTCTGATATGTGCTTTCTCTGTTTTCTTTATGTGGGCACTTAGTGCTATGAACTTTCCTCTTAGCACTGCTTTCATAGTGTCCCATAGGTTTGGGTATGATGTGTCTTTATTGTCATTGAATTCAAAGAAGACTTTAATTTCTTTCTTTATTTCTTCTTTGACCCAGGGGTGGTACAGTAGTTGACTGTTCAGTTTCCGTGAGTTTGCAGGCATTCTGGGATTAGAATTGCTGTTGAATTCTAACTTTATTCCATGGTGATCCGATAGTATACAGGTGGTTACTACAATTTCTTTGTATCTCTGAATGTTTGCTTTGTTACCAATTATGTGATCAATTTTTGAGAAGGTTCCATGAGATGCTGAGAAGAAGGTATATTCTTTTCTGTTTGGGTGGAATGTTCTATAGATGTCTGTTAAGTCCATTTGGTTCATTACATCTGTTATTTCTCTTATTTCTCTGTTAAGTTTCTGTCTGGTTGACCTGTCCATTGGTGAGAGAGGAGTGTTGAAATCACCCACTATTAGAGTGTGGGGTTTGCTGTACGCTTTGAGTTCTAGTAATGTTTTTTTTTTTTACATATGTGGGTGCTTTTATATTAGGGGTGTAGATATTCGGGATGAAGATTCCCTCTTGATAAATGTTCCTGTTATGAGTATAAAGTGTCCATCTCCATCTCTTCGGATTAATTTTAGTTTGAAATCAATTTTGTTAGATATTAGTATAGCCACACCTGCTTGTTTTTTTGGTTCATTTGATTGGAAAACCTTTTCCCAACCCTTTACTCT